ATACAATAGAAATTAGACGGTTTCGGGGGAGAATGTAAAACAAAAGACGGGGCGATTCGTTTGATTCTGATTTCTCTAGAAGGTTTTCGTTTTCAGGAATTCGCTTGTAGCGTGATGTTATTGTTGTTGAATATAGTCCTAGAGTTCTCGTTTAAGTAATTAAGTATTAGCTTCGAACCAGGTGTTCATATGATAAGCGCACTCAACCAAACAATTGAAATAATGTTTCCGGTTTCTATCCTACGCATATGAAATGAATACCAGTCCGTAAGATATGATATTTTTATACTCTTGAGACAGATTTTAAATTCAACGAATACGTTAGGGACTACTGTACATCACTGAGCAAAATGACAATGAATGAACTAAGGGATGTGGAGATTTGTTTAAAATTGGCAGCGTTATTCATACAAGCAAAAAATTGTGCATACGATTAATCATGAAAATATTTGGCAATACTCCCATAGTGTGATCGCTAGACATATCAAAAAAAAATCTATGTATTGTATTTATTTCAGGGAACTTAAGAAATTAAAATCATTGCAATAAATTCAAAAAATTAGAAGTGTAGTCGATGACAAGCCAGTTCTTTTAGATTAAACGGTATTATTAAAATATAAAGAAACCTAAATTAAAACAAATATATTCAGAGGAGCATAATGACACGGAATCTTATACGTAATTAAATTCAATTTAAAGAATTACTGAATTTAGTTTGCCTTGCTAATTTCATCTAGATGTAATCTATCCTGTACCTATGTGGGCTCATAAGTTTAAATGCATTTTGAGGTATGAAGTAACGTCAGAATTGAAGCTCCTAGATTATTGTATGTGTCTGATATTTGTAGCAAACAGACGCAAATAAATAGTGTTGATGAAAACAATATAGGAGGAAGATTTGGCACGCCTAATGAAGACAACACCCAAAAAACAATAATCACCAATAGATACATGTGTATCCGTCTAAATGAAGGTGTGGCTCGGCACTTTATACAATTATTTGTTTTCGTTAATGGTCTTTTAGTCATTTAATGTAGCAAATTGAATGTCAGCACTTTTATGAAAAAGTGCATTATGAACACACAAGTCCACATTTACGCATGATGTACTATTTTTTTTTTACAGTAGGCAGACGGGCAGGAGGCTCGTCGGATATTAAGTGATACCGCCGCCCATGGACACTAGCACTGCCAGAAGGCTCGCAAGCGCGCTGCCGGCCCTTTAAGAATTGGTACGCTCTTTTCTTGACCCTAAGTCGAATTGGTTCGGAAATACTTCAGTGGACAGTTGGTTCCACATAGTGGTTGTGCGCGGCAGAAATTTCCTTAAGAATAGCTCAGTTGTGGAACGACTGACGTCGATTAGAACTATATCTGTTCGTTATTTTAACAAAGTACATATATAGTCTACTCTCAAATGCTGTTACAATTTTCCCAGCAGAAGTGTTCTTGAATATTACCTATCTGTGATGGAAAGCTGGTGACTAAGAACTTCTTTAATGCTATTATAGGCACCATTCATTTACAACGATAGTCAATACGTGTATGACAAATTGTGACGTCGTAAATATAACCTTTCTAAAGGTGCGCTTACACGAGGGCAATAATTGCTCGGCAACACGAATGGACCGATCTGGAGCAATTAATGGAGCAATTTCAAGAAATTCAATAAATTTCAATAAATTATTTCGGCGATATTGCTTCTAATTGCTCCAGATATTTCATATCGCTCAATGTCGCAGATACGAATTGACGAATATCCAATGGACTTGGAAATTCCTAGCAATTTTTGTATATATCTCATTCGCACTTGTTTGTTTTGCGGCTTGCCATCTTGCTTGCGGGGAGAGCGAGAGGTCGGGTGGAAGTAGGATAGCGCGCGGCAAGAGTCCAGCGCGTAGTCAGCCTCTGTTTGTTGTGTTATAAATAAATTAAAAATAATAAATTAAAATAAAAGTAAAGTTAAGTTGTAATTTATAAATAATTAAATAATATATTTTATAATTATTTGTAAATTACAACTTCATTCTGTTTTGGTTCACACAACGGTGTTCCTTTTTTTTTACCGTCTAGTCAAACATAGCCAACAGCTTGATTATTTTATGTCGTATTTTTTAATTGATTCATTTGAAATTTTGCAAAGCCGAGGAAATGTCCGTAATAATTTCAGTGCGCTAATTAACTAGCATTCAGCGTAAACATTGGAAATGAAATTGAACTGTTTCCTCGTAACATTATATTTTTGTTTTTTTTTGTTTTGACTGCATTTTGAAATACTACTGCCGTGGATTACATTACTACTGATTGATTTATTTGAATTAAAAATCTACTTAATTGTGAATTTAAATAAATAAAAAGCTCTGCATACAGTAGGTACAAATAGTGCAATACAACTATCAGAAATTCTAAACAGATACATTAAACTTTTGTATGAATCTCCAGTTGCCAGAAATCGAAGGGTTAAAGCAAGTTTTGTTGATGCAGAAATTGGTTCTCTCATGTTGGTCGTCTGTTTCTTAATTAATGGGCTAACTTTATTCAAAAGTAATTCAAAGTCTGTTCGTGACATTCTAGTAAAGTTTTTGAATAATATATCATCTAATTCTTTACATAATGAAAATTTTGTCCTCTTTGCCAAAAACGATCGCACCCAGATACGCCTATTCCTTTTCTTTCTTTTTTGTTTTTGATTAATAATAAGAAAAGCACTACGAGCCGCCGCAGCAAGAACAATGTCGTCCATAGCGAGAGAAAACTGAAATGCTCGTGTATGACAGTATTGCCTAGTTGATGAAGTTGCGCCATATCGCTCAATATTGTATTGCGCAGTATTGATGCTTGTTGCCGTTGCCGTAAATTGCTTGATGTAGTCGTGACGTCATAATTGACGAGTATTGACTGGAATTGAGCAATTTAAGTAGCCCGTGTAAGCGCACCTTAAAGGTGCGCTAACGCGAGGGCAATAATTGCTCGGCGACACGAATGGACCGATCCGGAGCAATTAATGGAGCAATTTCAATAAATTCAATAAATTTCAATAAATTATTTCGGCGATATTGCTTCTAATTGCTCCAGATATTTCATATCGCTCAATGTCGCAGATACGAATTGACGAATATCCAATGGACTTGGAAATTCCTAGCAATTTTTGTATAAATCTCATTCGCACTTGTTTGTTTTGCGGCTTGCCGTCTTGCTTCCGTGGGGAGAGCGAGAGGTCTAAATAATAATCATTTCTAATTACTTTATTCAAAAGTAATTCAAAGTCTGTTCGTGACATTCTAGTACAGTTTTTGAATAATATATCATCTAATTCTTTACACAATGAAAATTGCGGCCTCTTTGCCAAAAACGATCGCACCCAGATACGCCTATTTCTTTTCTTTCTTTTTTGTTTTTGATTAATAATAAAAAAAGCGCTACAAGCCGCCGCAGCAAGAACAATGTCGTCCATAGCGAGCGAATACTGAAATGCTTGTGGACTGTATTCCTAGTTAGTGAAGTTGCGCCACGAAGACCATTGCGCAGTATTGATGCTTGTTGCCGTTGCCGTAAATTGCTTGATGTAGTCAGCATTTACGCGTTTTAACCGGGATTGAGCAATTTTAGTTGCCCGTGTAAGCGCACCTTTATAATAGCAACTATGTAATAATATATTGTCAATGCAATTAGCATAAACTTTTTGACAGTTTCTCAACTATGAATATGTTACTACATAAATATCGTATTGAAAAATCTATTCTACGAACTATTAAAATTTGTACTTATTTTTTTTAATTTATTAATTTTTAATCATTATTATTATTACTATTAGGTTAAGAAATTTGTAAATACTGAATAATTGTGTGTTGGATATAAATAAAAAAAATGTTTCTTTATAATTTGAATAAAAATTATCAACAACACAACTTATGTTGAAGACATATCTTAAAAATATTCATTTAGTATGTTAATCGATATATCTTAATATATATAAATTACGTGTCACGTTGTTTGTTCGCTATGGACTCCTAAACTACCGAACCGATATCAATCAAATTTGCACACTGTGTGTAGTTTGATCCAACTTAAAAGATAGGATAGCTTACATCTCAATTTATGCCCGCAATATTATTTTATTGCAAAATATTTGTTTATTATTTAACAGTCACAATTCTAACAGATGGCGCTGTGTTGAAAGTACCAACGTTTCACATAAGCTACGATTTAATGGCATAACCACCAATAAAGCATGGTGGTCCCCATGACTGGTGTTCTCCTACCGTTTCTCTTGAATAGTTTGCTACTATGTAATATAACAAAAACCTTAGCCGCAGCAACGCTTGGCCGGTCTGCTAGTATAGTATATAAAGCTACTTAAACTTTTTATGATGTTGTCCTATTCGGTGTCGAGACTCTCGAGTCTTTTTGAGAAAATAGCAAAAAGGTTAGTCAAAATCACAGGAGACCGAAGAGCTGGCAGCTACCTCGGACAAAGAATTAGTCTAGCTATTCAAAGGGACAACGCTGCCAGTATCTTCGGAACCTTGCCTAAAAGGACTTCTTTTAATAATATATTTTAGTTATAATTTTTTAAGGTTAGTTATTGTTTTTTTTTATATAAATTTATGTTTGCTGCAGGATTACGAAATAAAGAGACTTGCTGTATATAAATGTATGTGCCTAAAAGTTATCTTGACCTAGGTAACTTGAGGCAAAAAAGCGTTGCGTGGTCATGATCACGTATCGACCAAACGAGACCGACGTTACGAAAGGACAGCATTTAATATTCTCGGAAACTCTTTATATAAACTCTACAAAATTCCAGCTAATAAACTTTTGGTACCAATATTTCGGTAAGTACAAATGTAAATTTGAAACTAAAACAAGTTCATGGAAAAATAGGGTCACAAAATTACCTCATCTCAGAACTAGAACTAGCAAGTGTTCAGTTAACTACACCATGTAAAGGTTGTAAAATTGCGTTCCTTCCCAAGTTTTAATATTATACCAATTTTAGAAATGGACATGTTTCCAACACATCTCGATGGGATACCCAAAAACCGGTTGGATCTGGTTAATGATTTAGAGTTACCAGAGGTAACTGTCTCTCCGTATGTCTGGCATCCCGAAGAATCCTTGAGCAGCTGTTCGTCTCTTGGTCTTGAGGACGATCAAACGGTATCTTCGGATTCGAGCTTGGCTCTATCCCGGGCTATGACTGATTCTGAGATTGATTACGGAAGATATAAGAGGGTGAGAGGAAATTAACATTTATTTATTTCTAATAATGGCCAAATTTTAACTAAAATATTTAATTTTTATGTAACTTAAAAGTATATTTCATTATTAGACAGTGAATATTACAAATGGAAAATATAGATCTTCAAAGGAAGAAAAGTAGCCAATTACAATACAATTTCCGAACCTATCCCTTCAATAAAAGAGCGTGCCAAAGGAGAATGTCCCTAGGTGGCAGTATTACTTAACATCAGGTGAGCCTCCTGACTGTTAGCGTCCTGTTCTATATAAACACACTAACTACACAGTTTACACTTACGAAACAGCGTTGTTTATTAGACTTTTATAACACTTTAAATTTTTTATCATAGTTTTATAAAAAAAATAAGTTTGCCTTCTTTATCAATTTAGTGAAACACCTGGTTAAAGAATGAAATTTCTCCAAACAGTAAAAAAACAATTAGTTACCCAATACGAATTTTGATATATCATCTGCTGTACATCTACTTTAAGTAAGGGTAATTGAAATTTATTTCAGTTAAAAAACCGAAGGTTCAGTGACCCGTGGATTGAATTGAAGACAGCTTTAGATGCCTTTCCTCCTCGGTATCTAGAGTCTCTAAACAGGTAAAAAATATAAATAGGTGAAGTAATATAATTAGGTAGAGTTACTATTGTTAACGGTGGTAACAAAAAAAAAAAGGACCGAAGCAAGACCTAATGGAAAAGTGGCGCCTGTTGATTTTTGTTAGCAATTCCTACGGGCATTTTCTTAGCTGATTATTTCTGTTATTTATATATCGCTTAATTGTTTTCTGTAGATCGCATTCACATATTTATATCGGTACACAACTTGGCAAGATTTAGGAATACTATGGGAAAGTTCTCGTATTTAACGTGTTATAGACCGAATTCTGCACTGCATCGACTATTGCCAATTTAAGTTCCAGGATTACAAATCCTAAGTTTTTTATGCGTTTAAAAGTTCCAATGATTTTAGTGTTCAAGATAATACATCTGAAAGCACAGAGGCGAGTGTAGAAAGAAGGCGCTACTCTGAGGAGCTGCGACTGAAGATGGAGAGGTTCTTTGAAGAAGAGTGTAGGGTGTTCAGTCCTGATGACCCTGGTCTGCTTGCGTTGGAAGAAGCTTTAAGAAATTGCAATTTTAAGGTTTAATAAACTCATATTAATTGTGCCAGTGTCCTGACTTTTCATAGTATATATTCCGACTGCTTAACACCACACTCAATCAAAATCGATTTTGAACAATTTAATTGAATTTACATAATGTCACTAATGTCGGATATAAAGTACGTAATTAGAGGAAACAATTTAAAAGGGATTCGGGAATTAACTGTTTTAGTTAATTGAAGTCATTTCTTGGAATTGCTTGGGTTTTGTGTCAACTTTCCTTATTCATTAGGAATGCGATAAGCAAGACTTTTGTAATTTTTTAATCCTAGATAACATAAGCTTTTTATAATGGTAGTAATAGTATAATTAACCTATTCTTTTGTTGATAATTGTATTTTAATTTATTATAATTGACAGTGAAAATAAAATGGCAGAGTGACAGCACACTTGTTCTTTATTTGTTACGTCTTCCAAAAAGTAGGTTTTAATATGGCTGGCTTTGGCTTATATAGACTCATCCCCTCCAAGTGGCTGGCATTTGTGGTTGGCAGGCATGGCGGTTGGCTGGAGGGTTGGTCAACATGGCATGCCTTGGCTTTGGCATTGGCTATGGCTTTGGCTTTGGCTTTGGCTTGGCTTGGCTTTGGCTTGGCTTTGGTTTTGGCTTGGTTGGGTCGTTAGGGAAAGATTCCAACGGCAAGGGCAAATAGCCTTCTAAGTATTTATATGTCTTTTTTGTATTTTAAAGATACTTTTCACGACCACGGGTTGGACCAAATTTGAGTCGTGAGTCACATTTCCGAGTTATTACAAGTTTTATTACGATATTGCTCCGTGACTTCTGTCGAGTAAGGACTTGAGGACTTTGTAATATTTACATAGTGACTCACTTCACAAGTCAACTTTCGTCACTATGTTGTCTTATTCCTAAGAATGCACACGAAGCACAACTCCTCATGACTTCATTGTAATAAATTACAACATAAAAACCGTCCATTTCGTCATATTATTTCGAATTTATAATTGAAATCACCTTTGGGGCTTTCGTTTGAGGTATAGAATACTTGCTACACCCGCCTTCCTGATAGGGCCTAAAGTTCAAATTTATGACGTGGAATAAGTGATACATGTACAGTCCATAATAAACTAATTTTGCTACTGCGATAAATAAAACATCGTCAGGAAATCGGTGTGTTTAAGATACAATGATGGATGTCCGGCACAGAAGGCTAGCTAAGGCAACAGACATCTGAAGCCATGGCCAATTGTTAGTTGGCTTGTGTATGAGTGGCGGTGAGTTTATTGCCAGTTCTTCTCTTCCGTTCTACGCCCTTGATTTGAGAACTGGCAGTAACTGTAAAATTAGAAGCATTTCAAATATATATATATATATATATTTTTGACGCTCATAAGTGTACATTGTTAACTATATGAATTAATGATTTTAAATTTTTGAATATAGATATTTCCATAAATAGCAAATTTGTTTTTTTTTTCAGGAATTAGATTTGGATAGCAGCCTGCCTTAAATTCTGTGGGTTAGAATAAAGTCTTGATTACTAGTGTCGTAGTGCATGTAACACTTAATGTGGCATTTGCCAGTCACTACATTAAGAAGCACTAAAAACGCCGAGTAAACATAATGTAGGTAACAAATACTGTTAAACTAATTTTATTTAAATATGTAGCACTCGTTTACACGAAAAAGAATTTGGAATCTCAATTTATATATGTTCCGCGCACTTGTCAGTCTTCCTTTATAAGGAATTTAAAAAGAAGAAATAAAACAAGGTATAAGTGTAAAACGTAGTTTTAATGGGAATGATTCCAACATCACAACAACTGTATAAACCGCATTGTACTTTGCTCATTCAGTTACAAATTGCACAAATAATATAACTAATAATTACATTGTGATTTTAAAAGTTACATACATGAAATTTTACAAACATGTAAAATTACATACATAAAATAAACAATACAAAAATCGCATCATGTTTGTTAACAATAATTGTTTCATACAACACGAAATTTGCATGCGTTTCCAGTTGGATTTTTTAAGAAAAGGATTTTGACATCTTTAACAAATGCAGTGCACTCAGCCTAAATAATGACTACATAATATAATAATCATAATATATCATAGAGTAAGACAATTTTCATTACACGAAAACTATCGCTTAAATCAATTCAATAATTACAAACCTTTGATAATACGGTTCCAATTCATTGCATTTGACGCGACACGCAATAAATAATGCTGCATGAATGAACCATATGTTACAAGTCTTAAACTTCTTACGTTTATTAGGCGATAGTTTTTGTCTAATAGAATCTTTGAAGAATACTTATTCATTGGGTGTTGGTTGGTAGACGAAACAATGTCGCCTTTCGATTTTGCGTTGGAATAGCATCATTAATCCAACCACAGATACACAGTACGGAAACTAAAGATATGCGCCCTCGTTTGTGATTTGTTTTTCGTTCTTACCTAAGAGAGACTATGATTCGTGCTGATACGCTGTTGACTAATCACAAATAAGCGACTGGTTTCATCGTTTATTATTAAAAACTTTTTCCTAATAAACATCCTTGCTCACCTGCTTATCAAAATTGTCATTCGTTGGAAAGTGATCACCATAGACAATTCCGCATTGATCACAGATTACTTACGTACTTATTATTATGATAATGTGTATCTATTCTCTACTTTCAATTGTCTATGGTGTTCCATAGATGAATGATCACATTATTACGTCATATCCGGTTTAACATGTAAAGCGTCTATTCGCGTATTAACGGTACTTGAAGCTTATAACTATTAGGATTACCCGAAACAGGAAGACAGAAAATGAGATTTGTCAGTCTACTTCATTTAAAAGAGTGCAATACACAAATCAATTCGCACTATAGCTTATATGGCTAAAACTATAGACATAGAGAATAGATTGAGAAAATACGCTTAGAAAATTTGTATCCAGACGTCTATTCATGGGGTATTGGTTATTGATTATCACGATGGAATGTGTACTAAAAATTTCATATTTGACCTCGTAACAATATTAGTTTTTACACAAATAGAAATCAACCGCTAACCAAAGGTAGAATAAGAGACAACTTTCATAGGAAACTAACTCCACCACTTGTCAAATGATCATAGAATTTTGACATACGAATGAGTTTACAGTTAAACTTGTCTATGAATCTTAGTCCATATTTTAATTCGTACTTCAAGTTACAATGTCGTCTTGGTCGCTGTCAAATATGTCAAACTTCAAACAGAAAAAATGGTTTGACAGCACCTGGCCCTAGATGGCTCTTCCTCCTGAGGAGCTGTTACGCGAAACTTACAAAAGTCAAGATATTTTTTACTACTTTAAGATATTTTTTTCTCTACCATTCTCTATGTTTATAAAATAAATACAATACCATAAACAATGTTGTGTAAAGGACCGACTAATTACCAATCTGCCTTTCTCATTCGGTCCGTACTAACATTAATCTTAAGATTACTTAGAAAAATATTGCCAATCAATAAAATATTTTGGTAACATAGCCTTAAGAATTTAGTTAAGGCAAAATAACATACATTCGCTGCCCTTACCATGGACGTGCTTATAAAAGGCAATCTTAACCTAAAATGACTTTAATATAAAGTATAGAGATTTGGTGAGTGAACTAGCTGATTTTTATTGAACGGAATGACGTGGAATGTTCACGGTATATGTACAACAAATTTTTTAACATCAATGTTGCCAACGTAACGAACTTAATTTTACCATTTATAATTCCGATAACATCACAGCGAAATCTTTATTAACATCGTGCAATAGCATAAAGCCACACTTATCTAGATGATATACGAATGAGACAGCATAACGTGAAACAAATATTATGCTTTGAAAAATTATCAATAAAACATTATTAAAGATTATATAAGGCATGAACTCTAACCAAGAGATGGTTAAACAATTTTACCCAAGAGAACCTGTAACATGAAGTCAAACGAGTTTATATAATATAGTTTAGTAAATAGCGACACTGAACACTGTGGGTTTAGATCTTATGGCTATGGCTATGGCTAGGCATAGTACAAGCAATAAAAATGTATGAAAATACTAGTGTATATAGCTGCAAAGCATGCAACATGCCACCATTATATCAGACTATTGTAGTGCCTAAAAGAAATTCTAATTCCAGTTATTGAATCATCTTACAAAATGTTTCAAATCGCTACAAGCATCTAAAGTTTTATAAGCATTAAGAATAGCGCCATCTATGTGTTAGTGCTCAACAAGGTATGCGTAATACTGAGAAAATAGGACTCAGGAAATAGTCACATTTTTAGCGTAACAAATCAAGTTAGCGGTGTCCGACCATCTTCCACCCAGTCTTGACTCTCGGGCTATCCTACGTGCATTAATATACCTAACGACCAGTCAAAATAAATATAAGTTTTAATCTAAGGAATGTATAAATCGATATTTAATTTTTTCACTTAAGCAATTAATTGTGTTACGCCAATATATTTGACTAATGACAATTAGGGACTGTTCAAGTTTCACGTAAGCAGATTTACTGCGATTTAAATAACAAGAAAATCAAAGACCTCCCCCTCCCCCTATAGTGCTTACGGCCCCTTATCGACATATTACAACTATATATTATTTTGACTGGCGTCCCACTTAAAGTTAAATTACATATTCATAACGAATCTGCCACATTCTAATACCATACAAAGTCCGAGTAACAAATATCACCAAACAACCTTTTGATATAACCTTAAATCTAATCTAAAGCATTTAGCCAATGTACATTTTTCAACGGCTAACATTAACATTTTATTACGTTCATACAAAAATAAACTGTTAATCTCATTTAAGTAGTGATAGACAAGGGTTAAAATTGTTATGCATAACGCCATCTATGTTTTCGAAGGGAAAAGTAGAATATTACATAAATTGGTTAATAGATGGAGTAATAGTAATGATAAGTTATTGCAATTTCGTAGGTACAATTTAGAAGATGGCAATAAAGCATTTTTACAAAAGATTATTTAGGGGAATTGAATCAAAATCAATTTTTGATTACATTATTATTAAAGTAATAGCGAAACTCTGACAGTCAATATAATAATACAAAAATATGCGCTGTTAACTGCATTTTCATTGTCTTTTATACATGATGGATCAGTGTAAAAAAATGATTGTCTTGATTGATTGACCAGATGACTGAACCCAAGCTGTAGTAATAAACTCTCCGAAGATCTCGATTAAACTACATCTCATATTGTTAAAATTACCAAGATAAAATATCGCCCGACCATACTTGGCGGGAGACAAATTAAATTATTATTATTATTTGTTAGATTGTTAGCTAAACGTACACGTACGTGACGTAACACTAGTAACGTAATTGAATTAATTAAAACTTGACGTAATTCAAGTCCTTAGGATTCGTTAACAGCACATATTTCGTAAGACAAGGTTAAAATTTGATATATTTTCTCTCTAAGGCGCTTGTGATATGCTGATGTGTACAAAAATACTGCTTTATAATACTTTAACAATATACCACAATTACAATTTTTACATATTTGATTCAACATTATATTGCCGATTGATATCGTAGCTTTGATTAAATTCAAATTGATAACAGATGGCGTTGTAAAAATAATAATAATGCCATCTAGTTCATATGGACACAGCTAAACCGCAATTTTATTTACCATCGACAACAAACATACAAAAATATACAACATACATTCTTTTATAAACAACAGTGCAAATTGTAAGGAAAATAATCACAGTAAAAAATCACGAAATTATCGCAATATTGAGATCCATATACATACAGTTATATATAACGTAATATCACTATTTAAATATATACACAGCTAGCAACATTAACAATTTATTGCGAACGGTAAGCAATATTCCTACAAAAATGTGTTGGAGTTGCCATTAAATACAAAAGCAGGCTTTTCGTACCTTAAATATCAACTATGAAGCTTCACATGGCAACCCCAATACGTAAACACTTAAAACACTATTTCTCTCTCAGTTGGTTAAGCTAAGCCTATTCGAGTTACATTTTTAACACCCCAATGTGTTGCTATATTGAAAAATAATTGACTCTTAACTTCATTGACATTAATATTTCACAATAATTGTATATTGGCAATTAAAAATATAACTCGTTTATCGTAAAAATGAATTACAATAAAATTTACAAACCATAGAATATTCTATCCTCATTACAATTTTGATATGTCCATATTTACCCTTGCCAATTTCTGGACACTTGTTTATTTTTATACGCGACGCCTCGTGCATCAGGTAAGCGTAAAACACGAAACCGTTAAAACAAAAATAAGCTGTATTTGAAATCGTCAAGCTAAACAAATTCCCAAACAGTTAATTTGTTTAAGTTCAAAGTTTTTGAATAAAATTAGGAACATTTATTATTAACTTGTGATACCCGAAATAATATTCTTGAAATCTTACCTAGGGAGTATAACTTGAGATCCTTCAAATCATAGTTAAATAGCACGTTTACCTCCTAACTAGGCGGCAGAGGCGTGTTCTCCAATAGGCCGCACTTTACTTAACATCAATTGGGGCGGCAACATGCGGCCAAACATTAATCGTCATAGTCGTAGAATAGTGACGGATCTGACAAATAGTAAACTTTACAGGGCAGCCATTTCAAAATAATATAATCATGTTAGTTTTTTTGTCATAACTTTTTTAATTCATATTCTATTTTTATGAAAATTGGCATACAGCAAACAAAAGGGTTTGTTTTAAAACAAAATAAAAATAATAACATTAAATTACACAGTTTTCTAGAAAAAAATGTTTCTATGAGCGTTTATCAAATCCGTCACTTTACCGACTGTATGTTATTTATTTGAAATTTAACACACATGGATTTTTTTTAAATATAGCCGTAATATTTAATCAATGTAGTATCCAAATATGATAAAAAGTGGATTTTGGATTTTTTTCAAATCCGACATTGTTCTACGATCATAACGATTTGTTTAGTTTTTAAGAAAAACAATCGAATCTAGGATCATGACAACAGGCCAGGATCGCTAAGATAGAATATCCTAAGGTTCAAGATAGACGAAAATCAAACCCGTCTGGGTTTACCGGGGCCCGGACACTCCGCCGACTTGACGATTTGCTCTTTGGGCCTCACTGGGTCCGTCTCCATGAAGCCAGGGTTAAGTATAATGTTAGGCACAAGTTCTATGATGTCTTGCTCCTCTGAATAATCTACTAGCATAGCCAAGGCATTCATAGGGTTAGTATACATACCATCAATGTTAGTGCCCGCAGTCCAAGCGTGCGGTCCAAGCCAGTGCGATAGAAGGGAAAGAAGAAAATTTTGAATGAATAAAAATTGTATTAATATTTTAATGGGAGGCATGCGTAGGGGAATTCACTCGCTATGTTTTTTAAAGTAATTTAGAAAATTTAAACCGACTTCAGGTTTAATTTCATACAGGAATGAATATCTCAAAAACTACTTAATCGATTTTGATGAAAGTTGGATTGTTTCTTAAGTCACACCAAGGTTTGACGATTTTACTAGTAAAGTTTATATTTATGTGCGAGTGAATTTCCCTAAATCGATAAAAATTTGTTAGCATACCAATCAATCGTAATTATCAGGAATAAAAGTCTAATTTGCAATGTAGCAACTAATTGAATTTATACATATGTAGTAGAGGTGAAAATGATATATCATTTATTTACACTTGAATTGTAATTGTTTCACGCTATACTGTCTTATTACTTAATTTAAAGATTTTTAATTAATAATCTAAGATTCATAATATAATTGAATTGAATTAAAGCTGCGACGTGCGTTGAATAATTAATTGAATTCGTAATAAACTAATTTTATTATATAAGAAACTAGCCGTTTCGCGCCCGCTTTGCTGGACGAATTAAAATAAATTTAATGTTTCATTATTTTATTTTTTTTCATATCATTTCATATTTTTTTCTTCTTTTTAACTTCCCGCTAAGAAAATTGAAATATTTCGAAAATCGAGTTTTTAACAGATGTTGACGTTTAGAGGTTCTAGGAAGCCTCCCCGAATGTTTCCGCGGTGAAGTCCGTATGGATAAATTTTCATAAAAGTAAAACAGCAATAAAAAAATGAAGGAACGTTGGAATTTAATAAATAAATAGCCATAAAGCATCTAGGAAAATTTCGCATCGAATGGTGGTAGTTTCATGTCGATACGATCAGTGGTTTAGGCGTGAAGGAGCCTCAAACGAAGACCATTTTTCTTTTATTATATAAGAAATAACGTTTATGAAGACTTTACAATAGATATAGTGAAAAACTGGTCCTAAAGCGATCATAAGAAGATTTTAAGATACCCTGGAAGCTTAGATTTAGAGTGTTTAGAACCGTTTTCTTTTACTTTGAAATTACTAATTATATTGAAGTATTTTTTATTTTATTTTTTTAAATATCAAATTTCTAATGGAATGACCTACGCTCCTTAAGGTAATAAATAGATTTTTGGCAAGTTTATCGTATATTAAGCTTAAAGCTCACTACATCTAATCATATTTTTTTTTGTTGCAATGGAAGCATATTTTTTTATCTAGCAACACTATATCTTTGAAGCTACTACGTTTTAATTGACATACGTAGCGTTTGGTCCTTAAGATTGAAAACTTAATTATATTATTAATTGTGCAAGTTTATGAATAGACTAAGTCAAAATCTAAAATTTTTAACGATTAAATTACAAGTTATAGGTAAAAGTAGGCACTTATTTTATTATTAACCAAAGTAGATACTTATATAGATTATACTCGATAAAATATAAAATTGAAGATTCAATAGTGTTGGCACATTATTAAGTGCAGGAAGTGCATTTAATTTTATATTAAAGTTTAATATTGCATTAAGTATTGCTTTTTTGTACTATTCTAATATATCTAAGAAACTCTATACTTAATAGTCTATACGTTAATAATAAAATGTCTATTGATTTATAAAATTGACAATATTGCCAGGCGTAAGCTTTTATTGTATCAAGTTATACTTAGTACATAAAGTACTATCTATATATCTTCGACATATACCTACTCCCTTATTAAGCCTTTGAATATTTTGTCGTTTTCACTCATATTACAATAAAATTGACAATTATATATTCTTTCACTGTTTTGCGTTCACTATCAGACATTTCTTCATATCTATAAACTAATCATGCCTTCTACGAGAAAAAGTACTACGTTCACCCCTGCTACGTCACCTCTGTTTATGCTACGAGCGCTACGAACATCCTACGAGACTGTGTAGCTACGAATATCGTAGCTGTTACGCGCAATCGCTACGTTTTGAGTGAAGTATTTACTCTTATTTTGTATTCTCATGACTTTTACAACAAATAACGTAATAATCACTAAAGAACTCGTGTCCTTTACCTTATTTACCCATTTCCCAAAAACATTACTTTGTTAAGCACGAAGCGAAGAAAACGCGATCAAAGGCAAAAAACTACAAACTTCGCTCTAGCAGCTATTGTGAATAAAACAATGTTTCGGGGAAAGATCTTCAAGTGTTCTTCATACAAGTGTTGCCATCGGTTGGTTAGGCGACACAACTTGTCACCCGCATCTATGTCCCGCGCTATTCTACTTAAAGAAGAGAAAATAGAGGCGGGGCAGACGGCGAGGCTATGGCCGGGGCTCACCTGAGCGTCGCCACTCGCGGCACAGAACTGCGCAAGTTCCTGCTGCTAGGACGGCTAAAGTGCCCATTACTACGCACACCGCAGCCACCCACGTCCGGGTGTCGAACGTCTCAGCGCCTTCCAGGAAGTGCTTGTAAAGTTCTGAAGATTGAGGAAAATATGTTTATGTTAAGGCTTTAATATTTTGAAAATAACAGAATCACGTTTTGTTTTCTATAAGATTCATGCCCTATCATTTAGGATGGAGATTAAACAATATAAAAAATTCATATTTAAGTTCTCCATTAGAAATAAAATTATGAAAAACTTATGAATCTTGGGTATCTGATAACATGATTAAAAATTGCAGACAATTTTAATTACACAAACAAAACAAATTAAAAACTAATAATCCTCTTTACCAAATAATTCGTATTGGTTAAGTATGATATTATACGTATCTTATGTTTTTAAGTTCTTTATATATTATATAATAATGACATAACGTCTAAAACACATTCACAAGTAGTTCAAAAGTAAGTAGTAATTTAAATTAAGAATTTACTTGTACTGTAATAACGAGTTTGAATCCCAAATAAACAGTAGGTATTGTTTTTCGAATAGACCTACACTTCTTAATGACTACAAAATGAGAAATTTGTGCAAGCCATGAAAAATTATTTTATGGTCGGCTGATTCCATCGTAAAACACTGATAATTTCCAAGTAACAGAACATGTTTTATTTATTCATTGCTAAAGTTATTGTTTTTTTTTAATTTCGTGCCATATAATTACTAATATTATGAAGTATCATTAGATCACCAACACACAATGACTTTAAGAAAAAGGTGAGGTTGTTTTATTAGTGAAACTTGTTGGGGATACATCCAATGTGTTTATTTTATGTTTTATTTTTTGATACATACATTATTTAACTAATGTATACAAAATATTGTATTTTTAAAGTGAAAGTGTGGAGTTTTTTGCCCATTCTTTTCCACACGAAACTACCTTCTGGAAGGGGCAACTAGGATCATCTTTATATTTTATTTGACATTCTAAAGGGCCATTTTAGGTGGTCTAATTGAAATAAATGATTTGATTTTGACTTTAGCTTTTAACTTTTTATTGTATATAGTATCTGTTTTGTTTCCCAAATAAAAAAATTAAAGATAATAGCCAATAGGATTGTTGATTTAATGCTTACCAGCTTCCTGGTCACTGTAGAGGGTGGTCGCAAGGACCTCGACAGGCGGCCCAGGTCCCAGAACGTTGTTGGCCCATACTCTGAACCAATATGAGGCATTCGGCTCCAAGTGGTAAACGTCTATTTGACGCTGAAATCAGTGGATTTGGGATTAAATTATCTTTTAAAGCTTTGTAGGCTTTACATAATTTTTATGAAAAGGAAATTCTGGCAAATCGTGCTTGTTACAATAAATACGAAGTTATTATAATAGTCACAGAAAAAATGGTAACCTCGGTAACAAATATAGGTTTAAAGAGGTTTCTTCTCATTGAAATCATACATGTCACTTACATGAGAAAAACAAATATAATACTAAAAACATAAAAAAAATAAATATATCGCGCCACCGTCGTACGCTGTTACTGCAATAGAGACTCTAATCTACCAAAAAACTTCGTAGGTATATTCAAAACTGGCCCACTGTTACTATTTCCCGTATTGTAATAAACCTTTCGTTATATAATAAAGCCGATAGAAATTACAAGTGTTTTTACCCTTTTTTATGTAATAGGTGGCAAACAGGCAGGCTCATCTGATGTTAAGTGACACCTGCCGCCCGTAAACACTCAGATCGCCAGAAGGCTCGCAAGTGCGTTGCCGGCCTTACGTATATATGGGTAAATATAAAATCCATATATTGGTTAGTTTATACAAAAAACTATGTTTCAAAAATTTTCAAAGTAGTAGAAAGCGTCAGTATACTTACAGAGTTAGGGCTTATATGATTAGGGCTGATAGGTTTCCAGGCCTCCAGCGTGCCATTAACAGGCATCGCGGAGCGGTACTGCGCTGTGAAGTCAATGATCGGATGTCCACCTTCACCAGCCACGTTCCACAAAATTATGGCCAGAATTGTTGACGCGTGGACTGTCACGTTCACTAACGGTGGAGGTTCCGCTGGAAAATGTAGATTATAATTTAGACACTCAAGTCAGGTCACTTGGAGACGGAACCTGAATGATTTCCGTATACTTAGCGCTAAAATATGACTGAATTATTCCACGACCGTGCCTTGCTTGAAAATCTTTTGTTCAAATTGTATTTAGTTCATTTAATTGATATATAAACTTAAATTTGAACTCTCTTGAAATCCGAAAGTTTAACTAACTAGTCGTAGACTACGATACAGCTAGAAATACTATCGAAGTAATAAAACTAGATGAAGTTAATTCCAACATTCAAATCCAATGCCAAATGTAGATAAACAGTAAATAAACGTTCAGTGCATCGTTGTAATGAACGCTGTATGAATCGATGTTTTCTCTATGAGTTCTAGATAGTGTTTACAAGGGACTCTATTGAGTACAGTGAGTTTTAATAATGTTAAAATAAGCGATCCAATGGTAATCATTGATACTCTTGCTTGATTAGCAAACATAAGCATGTTATTTGATTTGAATAGAAACATCTCAATAAACTGTTTCTTTTACTAAAATTTAGCAGAAGCTCGCGTGAACACAAAAACCGTTCTTTTTTAGTAACTTTAAATTTTGTTGTTTACTCATATATGTACTTAATTTTGTTAAGACTCAGTATGACTTTGCTGTGGAATGGAAGCCTGGTTATCCATATCACAGGCTCTTACGTAGCTTGGAAACCAGTCTCCCAATACCTTCTTAATTGTAATCGTACTGTTTGTTTCAAATGTTATATGGGAGAAAATAAAGAATTATATTTCTGAAATATGAAATGTACACCTGTGGCAAGTACAAGCTATTAAATTATTGAAGTGAAACTTCTTTATCGGGGTTGGAAAAAAATTTAGTGTAACATTTTTCCGTTACGCGCCATGTTGCTTTTTGAAGTCAAACTTCTTTATCGGCGTTAAAATATGACATATAGTATGTTTTTGACTTTGAAGTTTGACAACGGATTACATTTTCGACTTGAAATTTGCTAATCGCAATTTGCAGCAATTAATTTGTAAATTGTATGCTAGGCAGTGTATCAAAATTTACTGTGTTTAAAGAAATAGTTTCGGACCTCTAAACTTAAAACAAACCAATTATGGCTCTGCGTACAACAAAGGTTTTATATAAGTTTCACTTCTTACGTGTGTACACCTAGTACACGCACACATTTTTTTATTTATATTTATTGGTCTTAGATTACAATGAGATGTAGGCATTCATGACTTAGCTTCCTCTTCGTCTGTATCTTCTTAAGTTGCTTAGGCCTTTTATATTATAGGTATTTTTAAAATATGTAATACTTTCGTGGTTTGTTGTCTACCTAGAGGCCTTCCTACCGTAACACAGTTTTTTGAAACCATTACGGAAGGAGGACCGTCACCTTTATTCATTTATTTTTAATTTTATTTTTTATGATATCGAGAGCTGGCGCAAAGCAGCGTAGTTCTCGTGTCAATGGAGCGAGGGAGACTGTCTAGCGAAACAAACGTATGCCTGAAGAACTCGTAAAATATACAATATTTAATAAGCAACAAGCAATATTTAGTAACAGCTTTCGGCCAAACTAATGTGATATAATTTAATAAATTTTTGGCTAATACTCGCCATGATTGAATAAAAACTGAATTAAACAATAGAGGTGACTGCCTTTTTTTGTATCGAGGAATTTATATTGTATTGTGTTTTTAAGGGTCGACCATTGAAATTATAGTGAATGATCAATACATATTTATTGTTTTTAATTGAAACATCACAAACTTAAATAAAATCAAATCTACGATGAGTGAATTTGGTTAATGTCCGCTATTAAAAAACGCGGTGTAAGGGTAGAAAGGCCTCATGGTTGACCCAAAAACCACCAAAAATATTATTTAAAGACAACAAAACCTAACAAAAACATTACAAAATAGAGGATTATATTCAAGATAAAAATGCTTGGAAATATGCTGGTCCTGCTCCATAGGACAATCAAACTAGACAAAATCAACTGGTTGCTGATTAGTTATATAGGTTCATATTTGCTTTTGGAACGAAGTTCCTTATCGCGCGTTGTGAAAGGGGGCTAGACGGAAAAAATTCTTACGAAAAGTTGTCACGACACTTTTTTGCTATTTGCTATTGTAATACACCGGTGCTCGTCCGATCACCGAAGTTAAGCAACGTCGGGCGAGGTCAGTACTTGGATGGATGACCGCCTGAGAACACCTCGTGATGTTGGCTTTTTTTGTAGGTATAAGAAATGAAAATTATTTTTGGAATCACTTAACTAAATTAGTCTTTCGTTCTTAGAATTTCGTTCCATCCGGGTGTCCCTTGACACCTCTAAAGTTTTTTTTTTTAAGAAATCAACTTTGACGTAGCTCACACACTGTTGGCGTATCTACATAATAATTTAGATATCTGCTGCATTTTTAACGCCTTGCGCCTATTTTGTATAAGTATTGAAGTTTTTTTTTGTTCTAGGTTTTGGTCTTCACATATAATTATCAAATAAATGTATACAAAATATTTTAAAAACTATTTCAAAAGAGTATGGAATTTCTTCGCCAATCTTCTTCATATGAAACTACCTTTTGTGTGAAGCAACTAGAGTATTTTATAACTTGTAATTTTGACTTTCAAAAGTGCCTTTTTAATAGGCCAAATTGAAATAAATGATTTGTCTTTGACTTTTAAGCATAAGTAAGAATATACAGAAAACAAAGAGGAAACTAAATCATGAATGTCTTACTGTAATCAATCTATGATAGTAGGATGAAGATACACAATTTGTAAGTTTGTTAAAAAATCAAATATCAATAATTAAAAGTACGCTCGACTTTATTAAGAAATCAATTTGCTTTTCCATGAAATAAAACTCAATGATACTTTGATAATCCAAGGAGCTGTTTGCTGAGCCGTATCGATCCGATGGGTATCGCTAAAGGGGAATAGGGGTGATGCAAATTCACGTCAGACACGCAAACGAATACATTTGCATTAGTTTTAAAGTGAATATTAACTAAAAGCTACACCTTTGAATCTTAAATGATTTTTTTTCTTTATATTATCACGCCTATGTCCCCGAGACTCTCAGATCTACTTGCTACTGTCCTGATATAATTCGCTTCATCCACTTTCATGACATTCACCATGCATGCTCGTCGGTTATGGGTACTTTATGTAATAGGAGGGAAACGGGCAGGAGGCTCACCTGATTTTAAGAATTGCTACGCTCTTATTTGAAGGACCCTAAGTCGAATTGGTTCGGAAATACTTCAGTGGGCAGCTTGTGGGCTTCCAAATAGTGGTGGTGCGCGGCAAAAACTGCCTTAAGAAACGCTCAGTTGTGGAACGACGGAAACGGATGGTATTTTGTATTGCCTTGTCGATGATGAAACTCAACTTCAGGTATTAGTCCGAAGAACTCCTCTGAATACTCACCAAGGTAGAAGATGCAGATACTTGTCTCTTCTCTAGTACCATCTGGATTTAGGCCAGGTATGTACGAAACGGCCTACCCAACCCGATTTTTTTTATTATTTATTTAAATGGTAATAAAAAGGTGTTGTAAACTAACAGTTATAAAATCGACAGTTTTTTTTAAAGTGAAACTTCTTTAGGCGCTTGAGGGTAATTTTTTTATGGATGAAGCGCAATTATATTAGCGTCACGAAGATGTGCAGCGTTTTTGTCGAAGAATAGGGAGAAAACAATTGAGACCGATTGAGAGAGAGTGAGAATTACCTTATAGAAATTATATTTATAAAATTAAAATTTCGCAGAGAATTTATGAAATATTAGTATTTTATATTTAATGCAAATTCTTTATTGAAATCTCAAATGACGAATTGTAAATTAAAATGCCACGTGTTTTTATTATCGAAGAAAAAAAATTAAATTTATAATTTGTATTAATTTTCGACACTTTTAATATTTTAATGACAATTTAATTCCTTTTTCCCTCCCTCCGTCTAAGTCTCGGAAATCTATAGTTTTAGATTTGTATAAATATGAACAAGACTTAAAAATTACTTTGCCAAAGTTGTTCTGTTAATTATTGACTTTCATAAGTGTCAATACATAGTTACCAATATCATAAGCAAATTTTGATTTAACTGGAACTCTATTTTGTTAGGAAAACGAGAACATCACTAATGTATTTGAAACCAATGATATCGTTATATAAAAGGTAAAAAAGCAGTCTGACAAAAATCACTATACAAGTATAAAACTCTAAATAATAATTCTTTCGCCATTTCAGGTGCTATATTTGAAGTAACAGAATAGTAGTTATAGTTCGTTGATACCCTTTTATCGAAAGACCCTCTCTCTTCAAATATTGACCCTCGTTCAGCCAGAATTTTAATTACATTAATGGACGTCGATTCCTATCTCCATGGCAACGGGAGATAGCGTAGACGTAATGTAAACAGCATTTTCGAGGACAGATGCAAGTAGCTTTGAAAGGGGATATTACGAGTACAAGGAATAAATGTTTATACAGGAGACTTTATATCGAATTCAATGCCAGGATTTATGCGTTTTTGCTCTTATTGAAGTTTTTATTAACTATAGATAGAAAACCTCTAGTCGTAATAATAAGAAATATGTATATTATTCCACGACAAGAGCGTACCAATTTTTATAATGCCGGCAACGCACTCGCGAGCCCTGTGGCAATTAGAGTGTCCATGTATCATTCATGTATCAGCTCCTAACAAACATTTAATAATACAAAAAACTTGGCGATTAAAAAGAGTAGCGGTTAGTTTATTGCCAGTTCTTCTTGTCCGTTCTACGCCCTTGATTTGAGAACTGGCAGCGAATGTAAAATAAGAAGCATTTAATATGTATTTCTTTATGGACGTCCATAATTGTATATTGTGTTACCTAAATGAATGATAACAATGATGATTTTGAATTTGTATGTGTGGTAATTGGTATCACTTAACCCCCGAAAATCCCTTGATTTGAGAACTGGCACTAAATGTAAAGTTAGAAGCATTTCATATATGTCCTACATTTCTTTTTTTTGACGTTCATAAGTGTACATTGTGACCTATATTATTAAATGATTTTTGACTTTTAACATCAAGTGAACCTCCAGCCCGTTTGTCCCCTGTTTTATAATTACATATCAACTATGGTAAATTGGAATTAGAAACATACAATTACACAAGTTGTTTATAATACTTTAGCACGAACGGAGAACGAATCACATTTCGTATGATTAAAACTGGTTAATACCATCTCCAGTCCAATCACAGACACGCAATAGAAGGTCTAGAACAATTTCTAAAGCCATAAACATATTTGCCATAGTTAAAGGAAACGGTATCGGGAGCCTTTTTAGTCTTTATGGAGCGTGACCTATGAATTTTGCATCGGATGCAGTTGTTAAATCGGCAATATGTCAGCGGTAACTGGTTTGTTAATTGATATTTATTGCTCTTGAGCAAAACTGGTACTGGGCGACATTTAGTGCAAGTGCGAATCTTTGACAAAAAGAAAATATGAACAAAATGTAGTTTTACATTTAGGGTAATATGTAGAATCGAGATTTACGCTAGTATGATACCCGGACGTCAAAAAGTATTAAGTTCTGCGTTAAGACTCTGAATATCACATTTGTTTACTTTTGAATAACACATTTATTACAAAGAAGTTTATTCTCATTAAATATAAATGTCACTTACATGAGAAACAAAAATTAATCACAAAAAAAGTAAAATATATTACATCGTCGTACGCTATTACTGCATCAAAGTCCAACCAAAAACCTTGGCAGGCGTATTCTGAACGGGTCCACTGCTCCTATTTCCCATATCTCATGAGGCAAGCTGTTGAGGTGATACGGGTGGAATTTCGTATTCAGCCTCTACGTCCCATTATGAAACTCAGCTGCATGTAATTATTTATGTATTGATTAATAATATGACAGACACATTTAAAAAAATTATATACAAGTTATAATTATATAAGTGTCCTTAAATTGTTAAACAGATTTAAACGGCCAGCAACGTACTTGAAAGCCTTCGGGCATGTATCACTTAACATCAGATGAGCCTACTGCCTGTTTGCCTCCTATTACAAAAAAAACAGATAGGATTTTTTTAAAATAATATAATTTAAATATAAGAAGCTAACTTGCAGTTAAATTCCAGTAAATTAATAACAAAATTAACGTAAACGGATACAATGAGGGTGGACACGTCCAATCATTTTAAACGTAATCCGATACTGATACAACGTGTAGCTCTGTCAATTTAATAACGTAACAGCAATTACGGAATGTAAAAACACGTGTCTACTGTCTAAAGTAGTAATTTTTTGTTATATTTTGCTAAATTAAGCAAATATTTGTGCGAGTATATGACATTCTTTACTAAGCTCGATTCGATTCCTTTACTTCAAAGATAGATGATTAACGAGTTGGCATGACTCTGAGGTTCCCAAAACTACAGACACAGCGCACGCTTATAGCAAACTCTCGCCCGCACTCTCAAATACAGAGGCACGCACACATCCATTCACATACTCATGCATTCACGCATTACGCTGACACGCTTAGTCAAAAATCATTTATTCATGTAGGTAACACAATGTACACTTATTAAAGCACAACCCCTCCGGCCGATTCAACGCACCTCCCGCTGACGATCGACAGCCGGAAAACCGGCAAACCGGCCCCACGAAACCGAAAAACCGGTAAACCGGAAAACCGGTAAACCGGAAACCCAGCCCCATGAAACCAGAAAACCGGTAAACCGAAAACCGGAAAACCGGTAAACCTGCCCCATGAAACCGGAAAACCGGTAAACCGGAAAACCGGAAAACCGGTAAACCGGCCCCATGAAACCGGAAAAACCGGTAAACCGAAAACCGGTAAAACCGGTAAACCGGCCCCATGAAACCAGAAAACCGGTAAACCGGAAAACCGGTAAAACCGGAAAACCGGCCCCCACGAAACCAGAAAACCGGTAAACCGGAAAACCGGAAAACCGGTAAACCGGCCCCATGAAACCGGAAAAACCGGCAAACCGGAAAACCGGAAAACCGGCAAACCGGCCCCACGAAACCAGAAAACCGGTAAACCGGAAAACCGGAAAACCGGTAAACCGGCCCCGCGAAACCAGAAGAACCGGCAAACCGGAAGAACCGATCGCCATGCCTCATGGCTACCTAGTATTGCTGCAACAACACTCGGCAGCGAGAGGTCCGTCCAAACGACCGACACCAGGTCGAGACAGTGTTGCCTCAACCAAGTGGCACATTCGGCCAGGGTGTGCAGTCACCACCCCTGAATCGCGGCACAGCGTCTCCAGATCCCCCCCAACAGGCTGGTGCAGCTATGATGGTTGTGCCACACCAACCTCCATGGGGAGCGTTCCCCCACAGTTGTCCCAGTCCTTTGGGCTCCCAGGCCCTTCGTCACCTTCGGAGGGTTGCAGGCCCTTCCCGCCATCTTATGGTCTGCTGGCTTCCCAGCCGTTGAGCAGACCGCGCAATGCAGCTCTTTCGAGCTGCATTCATTGGCCTTGTGGCCAGCAACCCCACATCGATAGCACACCTCCGCCAAGTCCATCGTTGAGTCACAAGTGGCTCGCACGTGACCCAACTTCTGGCACTTGTAGCACCTCAAAGGGCGGTCCTCTCGGATTTCAACCCGACAGGAGCTCCACCCAATGAGGAGCTTTCCTTGGCACACTTTCTGGGCGGCGGCGACCGGACACATGAGGAACATCTCCCCCAAGCCCCGTATCCCACGCCTCAAAATCTTACCCGGCTTGATCGCTTCAGCCGGGCACCCACCCATGGCAGCCACCGCCTCCGTCACATCCCTCTCAGTGACGCTGTCGTCAAGGTCCCGAATAAGGAGGTCCGCACATTTGACGGGCCTCCCCACCAAGGCCTCCCCGACAGCACCACACGAAGCCTGTCCGCCAGGGCATCAGCCTTCTCCTCTCTGTCAACCCCCGGCACCTCCAGCATCCAGGCTCCCGTTGCCGTTAGCCGGATGCTGATAGTTGCAATACCAATCTCAGCCAGGTTTATACCATTTCTTGCCTTGAGTAGCACATCGGCATACGTCACCCCCCGCTCCACCGCCTCCCTCCGCAATGTGATGACCACTGCGGAAGTTTTCGGCAGAGTGAGCGAAGGCTGCACCCTGACAGACCTCTCTATAACTGCCACTCGCCCAGCCGAGGGCCCTGCGCCGCGACTCACTCCATGGTCCTCTGACCGGCCAACACGGCCACTTCCCCACTCACAGGGGGAAGGACCGGCACAGCGGGAGAACCACCCTTCTTTCCCTTACCCTTCTTTTTGCTGACGGTCGCCCAGCTTCCGTCACTAGGACCCCCAGAGACCCGGGGCCCCGAAAGACCTGGGGCCTCCGGGACTCTGCTCCCCTCTAAATCTTCGGGACCCTGGGTCCCCACCACATTCGGAGCCACCGTGCCCCGACCCCCAACGAACCCTCACGGGTGCCTGAGCCCAGGGGCCCTGCGAAATTCGGGGCCACCGGCCCCCCTCTCCACAAAACGCTCAGGGGCTCCCGGACCACGGGCCGATGCCGCCAGCGGAGGACGCAGCACAGGCTCAGGGAGGAGCCTGTCCCCAATCCCCGCAAGCTTGGCATCTAGCATGCCCCCAACAGCCCGCATCACCTCCCCCATAAGGCTCTCCTTCACCCCATCCAAAAGCCCCTCCATCATTTGACGGAGGGCATCCGGAGTGGAGGGACCCTCCACCGACACGGGGTGTCCTTTGTCTGCGCTAAGTGCGCAGTGCTCTCATTGAACTCCCTCCTAAGGGCCGCAAGCTCCAGACCCAGGTCTTTTACCTGGGCCCTCAGGCGAACATTGTCCCTTAGGACACGCCTCCCCTCATCCCCTCCCAGGCATCTCTCCGCGAGATCCTCCACGATCTCAGCCACCTCCTTGGCTGCAACCTTCAGGTCGCGGACAAACTCACCCTTGAGGTTGCCCGACTTCGCCGCAATTTCGAAAATGCGACGAACCCGCACAGCCGTCCGCTCCTTCATCTCAGGAATGCCAAGGAGGATAACATCGTCCAACTCCTCCTCCCCGGATGACCTCACAATCCTGATATCCACACAGGTGGGAGCCCCATAATCGGAGAGATTCCCCGCACCTTCTAACCTCTCTGCAAGGCGAGAGCAAGCGTTCTGACGCCGCAACTCTCCCTCCGCCTCCTCCAACCCTACCACATGAGAAGCCGCCTTTTTCGGCTTACCCTTGGCCGGTGGAGAGCAAGTTTCCTTGTTGTTGCCAACCGGGCTTTTTAGTATGCGCCCGCTTCCTCTCACCGGAGCACTCCACGATACCCACATCGTCGTCGCTATCCGAGGACGACGAAAACACCAACCCTTTAGCTCGCCTCATATTAAGGTGCTACTAGATCCTACCCCCAACTAACATTAGAGTCGACGACTCAACCCCCTACCCAATAAATATATAAATAAATAAATATATAAATGAATAAAGAACTGAGTACAATACACCACACAAATACAATCCTAATTCTAAAATCTTAATTCTAAATAATTAAAACTAAAATTTATTGTTCCAATCCACTTCGGTGTGACGAAATCCAATCTTCGGACGCCCACTCACTTCGGTGTGAGAGACGTCCAACCTTCAGCTGTCCACCAAGCTTGTCAACAACAAGATGGCGGACCAACGCGTCACGGAAAAACCCCAACCTTGGCCCCAAACTTGTAAACAACAAGATGGCGGACCGAAGCTTCACTAACTTGCCCGACCTTGGCACCCAACTAGTAAACAAGATGGCGGGCCGACAATTCACTTTCAATTATTCACAAATAATTTCCACCTTTTCCTCCAATCTCGATGAGCGTCAACTCAAACAGCTCGCCTCCAGAAGATAGAGATGATAGTAATACTATCTTCGCAGATGCACCTCCCGCCAAAAGGCAAACCAACAATGTAGCTCTCAAGCAATTTAAATTATAATGGCCAAACTAATGGGCCAAAAATAAAAATTGATAAACTCACAGTTGCACCTTAATCCAGTTCACAATTAGGACACATAAAATTTATGTGTCGTCGCGACACATAAAAAGATACCACAAAAACTAACTTCGGGTCAATTTCCCACTCACTTTTGTGCCTTGCAGTTAATTAAGTACTTAACATACAAAGAGCACACACACATATAAAGAATCAGTGATTACTACTGAATCCTTTAACACGACTCAAAAGATTTTCCGCCACTAAAAACCCACCATGAGATTTTTCAAACGCGGAGCGAACGAAAAACACAGTGATCGCT